GTTATTCCTATTTTAGGTCTCTTTTATGTTTAATTATGGAGAGTTTTAAATGTATTTCTGAAAATATGTCCCTTCTTCATTTTTATTTTTGTGTGTGTCCCTATTGTTCTGACACAGGTAGTTCTATCTTTGTTATCTTTTAGGGTTTTTGGTTGTTGTTGTTTTGTTTTTGTTTTCTGGTACTGGGGATTGAACCCAGGGGTGCTTTATCACTCAGCTACATTACCAACGCTTTTTTTATTTTCAGCCAGTGTCTGGCATTGATTGACAACCCTCCTGCCTCAGTTTACCAAGTCACTGGAATCACAATGTGCTACCACACCTAGCATCTTTTAGTTTTTATTTTATGCTTTCTAGCTTTTTATCCTTTCCTCTGAAAGAGCTTATTAGTCTGTTTTTTTTTCTTTTTACCTTCTTAATTCATTTCAAATGTGGGTCTATATTATTAAGTAAATGTTATTTATTTCAACTATTAAGTATAGTGTTATTTTAGCTATTGCATTTCAAGAACCCACTGGGTTCTTGGGTAGGATTTCTTGTTTTTTTCTATGTTTTTAACATCTCCACTTAAGTCCTCCAACATGCATTTCAATCTTTATTTAGATTCTTCATTGGTGTTTCCCGATCACTCTGTAAGTTAGTGTGCTTGGTTGTATTGGCTAGTCCTCTTTTAAATAGTTGTGTCCCTCAGATGTCTAGTTATCTTGTCCTGTGACCTCTCATTCCTGGAGTAATTGGTCTCTAATGTTTTTTAGGAAATGACCTAAGGCCAGGCCTTGACTTTGTGGGGTTCTGGTGGATATAAAGAGAATAAAGGGAGTGAGACCCAGGGTAAAAAACTAGTTACCATAAAAGAATCCTTGATCTTTCCTTTTTTGTTTTCACTATTTTTATAGGAAAACAATATTTAACACTTTTAATCCCTTCAGAGTAAAATCATTAAGATGAGGAAACTTCCCTAGGTCATAACTCATCAGTCCTATGGGAGTACAGCAGAGGAAAACAGAGGATCAAGTGCCCGAGGTGTCTGCTTTCTGCAGAGTTGATGGTTCTTATGAACTCCCCAGTCCTTTAGGACTGTTGGGCTGCCCTGAGAGTATACCAGGAACACAGGGACCAGCAATCAGGCCTGTTGCTACAGCCAGTGTCTCCAAGCGATGGAAACAGAGGTACAAAACAGAGTAAAGCTCTTTCCTTGATTCTGTTCTTTACTGCCTGTGGCCTCTGCCTCTTCTCTGAATCTTTTTCTGGTCCATTAAAATGTGCATTGATTCATGAAGCTTAGAGTTTTCTCTGTGTATTTCTTTTTTCCCTTTTGTTTTCTCTTTTTTTCCATTAATTGCTAATTATTGAAACGCTGTGTCCTCTTTGATTCTGTAGTTTCTGAAGTGGGGCATCTGGGGTGGGAATCGGTGTGCTCTCTACTTGACCATCTCAGCTGGCCCTGCAGCTACTTTTCTTCACTACCTGGTGCATAATTGGGTGGGCAAGTGGATAGTCAAGGTCTTCCCCATCTTATCCATTCATTAGCCAGTACTCTGATTTTATTTAGAGACAGTTTCTCTGAATTAAAATAAGGCAGTCTCTCAAACAAAAGAGACTGTAGTGACAGAAGGTGGCAATGCTGGTTAAATAAAGAAGAGGGACAGCAGAGTTTGAGTCCCAGTGGAAGGATTTCTGAGAAAGTTAGAAAGTATCAAATTTCTGTAAGTACAAAATGGATTTTGATGGGTGACAGAAGAGACTGGCTGGACAATGTTTAGGATAACGGAAATCGTTCAGAGGTACCTGCTAATGTAAATGGAGAAAGGTAAAATATTAGAAAATTAGATGTCAGTGGTTGTGTTTTCTCCAATGCTTCATGTAATTCAGAGATATTAAAAAGATGTGAAAGGCCAGAAGAATAAAATTCACTGGAAATATGGTTAGTTCTTAACATTCAAATGTAGCTTCTCTAGCTTCCTCCACCCTCACATGCACACATGATCATTCTTTATGTTTTCAGTTAGTGTTTTCCAACTCCCTTGTTCCATACCAGTTTTGCATGAACTTGAGATAGGAGGAGAAAGTCGCCTTTTTTCTTTTTCAAAATAACAAATGAATATTCCTTCTGAGTTTATCTCATTGCTTTTCTAAATATTGTTTCTGATGTTCATTTTTCATGAATAATCTCATTTTAAACTCGGAAGTGTTAACTCCTATGCTAGGCATTGGACTGTAATGTATTCAATAGAAGAACCACTGTTTTTGATTTTGTTATCGAGAAAATGATAACACTCTTATGAGAGAATGATAACACTCTTACGAGCAGAATTCTTCTGCTCCGGGCTAATGAAGAGGGGAACTCACACGCAGCCACCACCGCCAACCACATGTGCCATTTTGTTTCTCTGCCCCAAAGGTATCAGTGGTTGTGCTTTTCACGTTATAGATTTCCATTTTTACCACTGGCATAGAAAAGAAGCACCCACCACTGCAAAGAAACTTTGCCATGATAACCGTGTTAATGAACCTCAGTTTTATGCAGGATGGAAGGTGCATGGTTGAATCAATGAGTTATGAATGAAGGAAGAAATGAGAAGGGTTGTAGCTCCACAATAATAAGCATATGTCTCAGGACTTCCAACATCTTTCCTTCTCTTCAGGAACCATGATATCCATTTGCACCCAAAGACTTATTTGGGATCCCTTTGTAGGAGGGAATCAAAGCAGGTGGGCAGCCAACCTTTTGAGTGTAAGTAACTCTTTTGAAGAATCAGACTTTATGGCATGATGGAAGATTACTTTCATTCTTGAAGATCACAAGGATAATAATATCTACTTGAATCACTCTCTGGAACATACAGGGAAAGATGTACCGCTTATGTATCCCGCCTAAAAAAGTTCCCCAGATCTATGAAGCAACAATTTTGAATGCTACACATAATGTGAAGTTCCCACAAATTACTCCTGTTCCCATTATTAAGTTCATCACAGTTCCATTTAATCCTCTTTTTTTTCTATTTCATGCTATCCAGATCTATACAGATATAAAAATTTGATTCCTTCCTACAAAGGGATCCCAAATAAGTCTTCCTAAAAATAGATCTGGATAGACTGTCATGTGTGGTTTTTGCATTATCAAGGGCATGAGAACTGCACCATTGAGTCAAACTGGAGACTGAAGGTGTTTACACTAATAAAGATAAAGATCTTGACATCTTTTGCACACTACTTCTAACCAATACTTTTGGATTATTCTTCCCCTTCCTGCAGTACAAACTAGATGAGATATCAGCAGGCCATCTTTGAAATGAAGAAGAAAGCATGGAATGAACAGGAGACAAGATGAATGGATGAAAAAATGAATAATGTATTTTTTAGAAAAATACACAAATATATATCTTTTGCTTTTATTGACTCTATATTAATTTATACATGTACATAGTGCATGCATTTCACACAATTTTGACACTAAATGCAATACTAATAAACTATTTTGATTTCTTCAGTTCCTACTATATTACCATATTACTATATTACTTACTATATTACTACTATATTAGCACAATAACATCTAAAATATTTTAGCAATATATTATCACATTTGTACTAGAGCTGCCAGAAATACTCTGTTTTCCACGTTTGTAAACAAAAATAACACATCACGTAACACTATGATTGGAAAAATACCTTCTTTTCAATTCTTCCCTTACATTCAGTAAAGGAGACTTAATCTACTTCAGTATCCAAAATACATTTTCGTTGGACAAATATAATTTTCTCTGGTTGCACTAAATATGTAACCAGAACAAATCAATTTCTTGTCTTTTCACAACTAAATCACTTCTGAAAGGCAGTGGCATAAGATGACACAGATGAGATTTGAGATTTGGAGGATTTCAGTGTATCTCACTTAGCATACAAATTACACAATGATTACTCTGATTACTATTACAAATTCACCAGTTAACGACACAAGCTTATTCAGAAATTTTTAAAGATCTTATACACAGAAGTGAAGAGAGATGTGGAAATCTACACTACTAGATTTTAATGAGAAACTCTACTTTTATTTTAACATGAATTAATATGCAGTTAAACTTGTAGTATTTACGTTTTTTTCTTCTTGTTTTGCTAATAGCGGCACACAAGAGGTCAACTATACACTGATTTCTAATTAGCTCTACTGAAAGTTCCTGGAAAAGACTGCGATCTTGTTAAGCTTTGAAGCTGGATGGAAGGCAGCTAATGGACTTACATGGAGTCTTTTAATTACCAGTCCTTAAACACATCTATCTTTTACTGCTAGATAGCACCCAAGGGCAAGAGGTAATCTGCTTTATAAACCTCAGAATGATTTGCTTTATAAATCCTGGAGTTTAGGAAAGTGGAAAACTCTTTAAAGAGTATTCTCTTCCACTAAGAATTATATTTTTGGCAGTTTGTGAAAAATTTAGTGATGGATTCTTTGTGACCTCCCAATTTATAAATGTCAGCCACCAAAGCACAGTCAACATTAAGACCAATTCCTTACAGCACTTAGGGTCTACCCAAGGGACAGAATTATCCAAAACCAAGCTGGGCGTGTAATAGTTCCAGCAAACTGACTCAAGATTTCTTTTTCATTCAAAGCATTATGTTTTCCTGCCAAATGCAGGTCTTGTCTTCCATATCCTTAGTCATCTTTATATGTGAAACCCATTTTTTCTTGCAGAGGTCATGTAATTTGTGCAGTTTACATTGTATGGATGGTAAAATATGTAACCTCAGGATTGATTGAAATAAAAAAATTAAAAATCAGATCCATAGCCAAATACAGAAATATTCTAATTCAAAATCTAGAGTTAAAAAGAAATATCTTGATAGTGATCTTAATTTTTCAAAGGTAGAAATGGCTCAAGATTAACAAGGAGCACCCTGTATCTGAACTAGGTCAATTTAATTGCCTTTCTCTTGGATACTTCCCTCGCATTACTAAGACATGCTGCATCTCAGTCCTGGATGAATGATGGAGTTCACAAGTTGCAGTGGGAGACTCCATTCCTAGACTGTCTCCCAAAGCAATAGTACCAAGAATCACTTTCTTCAAATTCACTATGGACAAATTCACTTAATAATTCTTCACAAATGATATGCTCAGCTCCTGGGAGGATGGGGATCGTTAAATGCATGATCTATCTTTCTCCCAGGAAATGAAGGCTCAGTGATCACGATGCTGTGTGTGCTTCACATTCAAGCGGATGACTCTTGCTCGATGACATTCATGGGGATGATCTCAGCACCCTCCTCGCCTTGGTTGTTGGCAGGCTCATTCCTAGGCTCCTGGTGGCAGATGTACACCGGGAGGTCGCCCTCCTCAGCAGCGGCTGCGGCGGCGGCAGCGCGAGCGGCAGAGCGGCGGTTGGGGCGCCTTCCCCAGCGCTGGTTCCATTGGATTTTGAACTGCATCCATTGGCGCTTCACGGTGGTTTGGACCTGGAAGACAAGAGGGAGCCTTGTTTTCATATGGTGGTCAGAAAGGACCCAAGCAAAGCTTATGCACGTGACTCTTGGAGTTTATCAGATTTTACAAGACAGCGAATGGTAATTCTGATCTAAGAGGCTGAGTTGTATGTTATTCGGTGGTGGAAGAAGTCATCTTAGAAGAACGTGCAAACTGGAGGACTGAGTTACATGCCAACACTGGCTATTTTTGAGCAAAAGTTTCTTCTTTAGCTCTTCAGTGAACGAAACTTGATTTGGTTTCATAATGTGTGCATGTCATATTAAGGAAGAAAGGTTTAGGAAACTTTTAATCTGCTACCATCCATGATAAGGAAAGATTTCATCGAAATCCACACACTGTTGATAGTGAAATACATATGGAATTCATCACACAGTTCTAGCTTTTATGATAATGACCCCATATTGTGAATTTACCCTCATCCAACGTAGCTTGAGATGAGGTCTGCCAGATAAAATTCCTGCTAATGCAGTGACACACTTTTAATAATAAGAAATAATAAGATTTCAATCTCTTTCTATTGAAGACTTCTAACATGTAAATAAACCAAACTTGTTTTATAAATATGACAAACTATATACTGAACACAAGAGGTGGAGAAAATGCTAAAATCAGGGAACTCTAAATATGAAAACTACAAAAACCACAACTGAAAACCACAGTAATTTTGCTTGTTTAGCTCTACTTTTTACAGAACTGAATTCATTTTAGTAGTTAACTTCATCCTTCATGTTGTCTCTGAACTTCTTGATTTTTCTCTATCACTGAACAAAACTTAAAAGAGATTACTGCAACACTATCTATTCCATATTTTAAGCATTTCTATTGCTTAGTACATAAGTCAAGCTTACATACAAAATATTTGCCTTAATTTATTAATAGATCCCTAGTTCTTTCTGTTGCCAAACTTGAATATGGCAGCTACCCACATGCAAGAGAATCTGGGAAAAATACAACATGAGATTAATCATGTATCTAGTCAATCACAGGATGCTATTTTGCCTATTTTACATTGGTATGAATCTGAAAGAAGATGAAAATAACAGCAAAACCAATTGATATTATAAAACATGTATAATGTAAGGCTAAATGTATCTATGGCAAATGCATGCACATTTTTTCTTTATATAATAGAGTAACAATCTCTCCTTATAATTATTAGCTTTGTTATATAATTTTATAGATTTTACTCAGGAGAAGGCAAATTCAAATAATTCATTGAAAAGCCAGTCAAGCAGCCATGAAACTTATAGTGGGAGAGGTTCATCATCACTCAATGGAGCAACCAGAAGGCTCAAGGTGACAAAGAGCTATGAGAATTATTTGGCAATCTGAGATTTAGAATATTAGACTTTTCAAATCACTGAGGTGACCAGCCCTGGTAATAAGTACTTGGTTACAAAGTACTTTATGTCTAATTATGTTCAAAAGAGACAAACAAGACAAGTACTGCAAGTGCTCAGGAGTGAGGTGTGCCTCACAGCTGGACTTTGCATGGATAAAAGCCACATAGGGGGAGAAAGGATGGCATAAAGAATTTTGGCTACTGTTTACTGGGTGCTTTCCCTGTGCAACATCATAAGCACTGGGTTGGTTAGCTTGTTCAACAGGAGGGAACCACTATTAGCCTCATTTTATAGATGGGAGGGCTGTGAATATGCCATATGTCCACAGTAAGAGACCTGGAATGTGGCAGAGCCACAGTCCCAAGTGAAGTGTGGCTGTAGGTCCTTAAATGCCAGCTTTAGAATCTAAAACCCACCACATGTTTTATTGAGAAACTGATAAAGATACAGGCTCAGTGTATTTTTTTTTGAGGATCAAAGTCCACAGAGAATTGATAATTTTTGATGGATTTAGCATCTCTTAAATACCAAGACCGTCCTTCCAGCTAAGCTTACACAGATATTTACAGGTATCTGAGGTAGACTTTTAGCAAGTTTGCAAGTGTCCAGCAGGAAAACAATTCTTTATTTCTGCCTCATCTGTTCTTTTAAAGTAATCCCCATCAGAGTATCCATGTGTATTCATGTGTACCTAGCCCAGGAGAGACAAGGGTTGGGGTCTGTTTTAAGGTTATTATTATAGGAAGCTTACAGCATTCGCTAATTGCATTCCAAAATTATAACTCATCCTTTTGTGTGGAGATGTCAATCTGCTTCAATTTGTAAACCACACATATGAGAACAAGCCCTGAGCAGCACATAAAAGACACTTTAATAATTATAGTTTAATAAGGGCAATATCGCCTGCACTAATATGGGTTGAATCTGATGCGGCTTTGATGACAAGAATAAGGGCATAAAATATGTACCCCTAAAAATAAAAAAAAAAAAACAACCACATTAGGAGACTTTTGTTGCTTCTGAAAAATAACAGGAATGTTAGGAGATGTCAATGGGTCACTAAAACACAAAGTTGTGAATTACATAAATGTATCTATCACTCATTTAAAAAGCAATGAACACAAATCACTTTACTTTTTTTCTGATTATATCAATTTAACTTGTTGCTACCTTTGAAAATTAGAGCGTTGTCCTGATGGTTTGGAGACATGGTTATTACACTTGGCTTTATTATTAAGCTATGCAATATTCGTATATTTGGGCCTTAGTTCTTGCATCTATGAAAAAAAGTCAAGGTGGGATCTCTATAGTTGGGTTTGAGTAGTTTTGATTTTCACTTTTCTTTTCCAGTTAAATTAATCCTAAGTGCCTATAGTTATGTAGTGTTGAATGGAAGGTGGGGGTTTTCCTTCAATGAATGAAAAGGTTTTGAGTCCTGGTCCTTCATGTCCTTACTTTCTGTTACCACAATCCAACAGACCTGCTACAATCTTAATCTAAGACTAAAAAAAAATCATGATTTTAAAAAGCACTTTACATTTCTTGGAAATTAAAAAGCAATTGCACACTCTAAATGGTTTTATGTAAGTTTTAGAAACTGGATCCCTGTTGAAGCCCATTAATTAGATGTTTTGGAACACTTCCAAGTTGTTACTGATATTTTTTTCATTCGTTTGGAGTACATATCAGAAACATCTCTAGTGATCTTTGGTTTCATTTACGGAATTTAAATGTTCTGTAATTTGAGGCAATTGGGTACTTGATGCTTATAAGATCAGGGCTTTTAATTCCCTTTCATTACCCACTTTCCTATGTTTAAAGGATGATTTCTTGTTCTAAAGAAGAATAAATATCATTTATAATATAGTTTAAAATCTTGAAAATATTTAGCAATTGTATTTCTTAAGTTTTTTTTTAACATTCCCCTATATTTCTTTCATTCATTAAGTCAAGGTCATTTATTGTTTGAAGAACAAGCTAGTTTATCTAGAACAGTGGTCCTCAAAGTGTTCTCTGAACCTGTAGCCCAAGTACCACCTGGGAACTTACTAGAAATGCAAATCCGAAAGCCCTGATTAGCAGCCTTTGCTGGTGGGGACTAGCAGTCTGTGTTTTAACAAACTTTCCAGGTGATTCTGACATTCACTCAGGTTTGAGAATGCTGGTCTAGAATAAGGAAATTATCACTTAGCTTTGAGTCCTCAGTAGACTTTCTTGGAGCTCTAGAAAGAAAATAACCTCTTGAAATTTATTCCTCCTATCTAACTGTAATTATATATCCTTGGACCAACATCTTGCCTGCCCCAAATTTTAGAAAATTGAAGGAAAAAAAATAGAAGATAGTTTTGAAAAACATTTTATTTAATGAGAGAATTTATTAATAAAAATTCTTCTTTGCCTATGTAGTAAAAAGTTAATTGGTCTGAAAACAGAGTTTTACTAAAAGCCATAGTGTAGAGAAAAAGTTGGATATGGTTTAGGGAGAGTCTTTTACAGACAGGAAGGGCAAGTGGTGCATGCAGGTCCCTTGCAATTCTGAGAGGAAGAGAAAAGTGGGAAGGATACAGAGACACAAATGACCTTCAATTTCCCCTTCATGGTGGAAGTTCTGGGAAAATGGAGAGAAGAAAGCAAGGGATAACTTGCTTTCTTGGATGTACCCTTATAACAGCAGGCCTTTCTTATTGATTCCAAGAGCATAATCTTGAAAACTGATAACCCTGTAAAGAAGTCCCGCACTTTCCCTGACACCATGTCCAACATGGTGTCCAAGCAGTGGAGTGGCAATGGCTGTGGACTGTCCTGAAGACAGAACCACAGGCTCTAGGAAGTATAAAGAATGGAGCTGAAGTCGCCACCCTCTTCACATGGCTTGGAGGAAAACTACTGAATCCGAGTAGGGCTGTGACTTGATCAAGGAGACTACAGACTGAGAAGACCCCTAGGGTCCTCAGAAGTGAGAGGAGCTGCAAGAAATTTCAACAGCAGGTTCTGGCATTCATACTTGGTAACCAGCTGCCCTTTTGGACAAAAGCTTTTGAACTAACTGCTTTATTTTCCACAATGAGACTTGTGAACCACTAGAGGCTACTGGAATGGGCTCTTGAATGCAAGAAAAGTTACAGCAAATAAGTTTTATTTTTCACACACTCTGATCATGCTTCTTTGATCTACAAACTTTTATCCACAACTCTTGAGCACTAGCCAAAAATATGGAAAAGGGAGAAAATCTAGTGTGTTATTAGTACTATTAATTCTAAGTTACTCTTTAGAAATGAATTGTACATCTTCATAGCTGTAGCCATCTTTTTGAGGTCTCTTAATACCTGATAATTTATTAATATGTTTGGATAATTAATATCCTCACACTTGGAAGAGCTGTGAGAAATGCTTGATACATAAGTATGCTCTTGTGGACATCTCCTGATTTCCATTACTTTAATTCTCCAATTTTTTTCCTGTTTCTCATCTACCAATGGACTCACTATATGATCCACTTCCAGAAGAGCAATCACTGATTACATACTGATAACAGATCAAAATTAAAATTTGCATCTTTCCATTGGACAACTGACTTATTTGCCCCCATCCATCTCTGTTAAAACTCAATATTCAGCCAGGCAGAGTCCCCTCACAGCTCTGTCTCAGAGGCAGCTGGAAAGAACTTCCGGCATGTGTGAGTGCCCTGTCTGTGTTCAGTGTTGTAAGGTGATATGTACACAGAATGCCCGACTGAGACCCAGATGCCTGAAATCCATGGGGCTGTGATATTACATTTGGCACAGTACATGATTTCTGTATTATTAGAAATGTCACACTTGCACTTTCTTCCAGTAACAGGATCTTAATGAAAATAGGTATGGTTTCTTTACTTCAGAAAACAGATAGCATACTCAAATGAACTCAGAGACGTTTCAATTGTTAGGTGTGCCCCTGGGATTGCTTCCTATGCCTGACACTCCCAAAGACAGCATCATAGTTAAGACACAATAAATATTGTGGTATTTTTACAAATGCATGCAATCCTCTTGTGCTTTACAAGGCAGTCTCCTCCTGGATATGGTTTTTATATTAGCCCTAGTTTGATATTATTTTAGATTAAAAAATTTTATCTTGCATGTCACCTGAAACAAATCAAAAGGCATGGGTATGCATTCACAGAGTATTCGCTAGTTTAGTACTGTACATAGGACAATGTAAGCTCTACTCATTTATTAGTTTTTGCTATTCTGAAAATGAAAAAAAAAAGAATTGGGGGGATACTCTAATAGTTGGCATCAGAAGGATCTTGATTCTATCTAGCCCCTTGTCAAGCTCCTAGAAACAGTAAGTACACAATATATTTCTGTTGAATGATGCAATGAGCTCTTGGATGAAGGAATGATGGGAGAAAGTAATAAAATCTACCAATGAAAAGATAATAATAAAACATGGCCATGTTGGGACTGGAGATAGGTAAGCAGGAAAATATTTTAGGGGCTCAATAAATGTCATTTTATGAAAGAAATAGAGAATAAAAAATAAGTATCAACTAATAATGGTTAGAAAATATTTCTAATTAATAACAGGAAAATAATGCTGATATCTTAAAGTATGATTTGTTTTGCATTGAATTGTTCTTGATAGGAATTAATTTAAATGATCAAAAATATGTTTGCATTAAAAGTTTTGTGGTTCTATAAGAAGCATATTCTACTTTTACAAAGCTCTAGGGAGGAATCATAGACACAGATAACTTACTGAGATTTAGTTAATTTAATTGGGAATCAGAAAATCTGGGGTCCAGTCCTGGTTACCATCACAGCTATGTTTATGCATGGGGCAAATCACTTGATCTTTCTGGAGCTTAGATGTCTCACTTGAAAAATGAGGAATTTTTAAAATCATGTTCTTTGAAAACCCATGAGTTCTTTAGAAGAACTTCTGGGGTTACAGAAGTTCCTTTATTTATTTATTTATTATTTTTTTGCATTTTATTAATGGGACTCCCAGGTAAGTTACTGTTGGAAGAAAGAGTAAAAACCCTGGTGCAAAAACCCTGGCCTAATGGATCTCTAGGTTCTTCTAATACAAATATTCAATACAATAGACTATTTATTTGGAGATCCTTTTAGTTCTAACTGCAAAGTGATTTTTAAATGCTGAGTAGTGGTCCAATAGTAGCATCAAGAAACTGGAAAAACAGGGTAACAGACTGTACAAACTGGCCGGAGGCTGGTTCTGTACCAGCAAGGGCTTGGGGCCTTTAGAGGAATAGGGACTTGCTTCTCTCTCTATGGGAAACCAGAATGGCTTTCACTATTACTACTGGGGGTGCTGACCAGCTCAGGAGGCAACCCCAGAAGATCAGAACTTAGCTGCATGTCTGGATCTTATTGCAACTGTACCCCATTTCTATAGGTAATATCCAGCTAAAGAAGTGGAAAAAACACAGTCCTGCTAATTATGAAAGCCACTGAGGTCAACTGTAGAAACGAGATCAAATGAAATGTGGAGACCATAAAGTACTGGCTTTATATAAATAGCCAATTGTATTATATGAAATGGATGCAGACTTACCTCGTTGTTGCAGAAGCAGTAGATAGTCGCCACGAAGAATCCCTAAAAAGAGAAGGGAAAATAGAGTTGAAGTTATTTTTGTGTGCACTATGTTGTCAATCAATATAAATATATTTATATCAATATAAATAGGTTGCTTTGGGGTGCATTTTACTCTTGCAATAGCATGTCAAACTTGATAATATATAAAGGTAAGAAAAATAATTATCTACCACTCATACTCAGTGCTACATTATAAGAATATTTTATTAGAAAATTTTCTTGTTAGGATTCTATCATTTGGCAACTAGGACAGCTCTAGTAAATCTGGTTAATATACTTCTCTTTTTAACTTGGAGATTTTTAGCATAATATATGGATTAAAGTGGATTTTAAAAGAACTTGGTACTTAAAAATGTAAAAACTGAGATCATCGGGTTCAGTAGAGAAATCTTTTACAAACACCAATACCAGAGTGCATGGCTGTCAACGTGTGTCCTGAAATTGTGATAGTACTCACAACCAAGTTCATCTCTCAAATAAGGACATAGACTAGGTAATCTCTAAGGCCCTGGTAACTGCTCAGAAGATTCCTTGTGCCCAAGCTTTAATCACAGCCCAAACAACAGCTCAGTTTATTAAAACAACCCCTATACTTTCTTTTAACTCAATAAAATTCTGTTGTTTTCACATTAATTCCTGGCAGTAAAAAATAAAACTAATTTAAGTAGAATTTCCTTTGCCTGAGGACCCCTACCCCAACCCCTCCATGCCCTAATTTGTTCTAAAAATACCTAGCAGTACACCTTCAATGGAACTGTGAATCTGGGCAGAGTGAATGGAAATGCAACAGCCATTCCTTTGAGTGTTGCAGACTTTAGATAGCTTAGGACAGTCCCTGAGAGCCACCTCTGTTATCTCCTACAAGAGGAGACCCCTGTACATAACTTTCCTTTACAGCTAGTGAGCTGTCAAGAATGGATTCCTGACATTGTCTCACAAATGGAAGGTGAAAGAGCAGAGGACATGGGCAGTTCTGTACAAATTCATTGCTCCTCATTACCCCTGAGCCAACATTTGTTTATTAAAGGAAGGTCTGACAATTATGTGTGTGATTAGCTGCCTAGGTGGGGCCATTTGTGGATCCTGGAAGTGACAGAAGAGCAGGCATGGAAAGTGGAAACAAATGCCTTAAAAAAAAAAAAAAAGATTTCCTTCTGAAGTTTGGCAGAGATCAACCAGATGAACAAGTCACCTAGTAAATATGCTACTGGCTGCATAAATATGCTTACCTGGAAGTGGATCAGAGAGTGCATGAGGTAATCGTAGATCTTCCCAAGCACCTTGTTGGAGGGCCTCCACGGAAAGACAACAAACTGGATTCCGAGCAGGGGCACAAGGAACATAGTAGCCTTCACAGCCTTCAAGTACATGCGGGACTCTGCCTCATGGCTCTCCCTCATCTTGGTCACAAGCACCCGGACGATGTTGAGCAGAAAGAAGAAGTTGACCTATAAAGATATGCTATCATGAGCAAACCATGTAGATTCCTCCACTTAAGGACGTCTACTGTCCCCAGTTCTCATGTATCCAGTGTGGAGAGCAGGAGAGATCGCCCGAGATGCCACATAATTAGCTTAGCCTCCTGAAACTCCAAATATGGGTAACCAGACTCTGTTCAGATCTGCATTCATATTCTCTTTTATTTTTTTTCTTAAATGAGAAAATATTTCCCCTGTACATGTAAATAAATGAAGTTCAACTGCAATGTGGCTATCTATTCCTTATTTAGATATTATAAACTGTACACAAGGAGTTGCAGACGACACTTGATGTGTTGCCATCTCATGTGTTGCCATCTCATAGCACATCCTGGGAAGACCTCGCCATCTTGTCCTTTCTTTATCAAGATGTCCCCCTTATCCACCTCTACTTGACTGAAAGCAAAGCGAGGAATGAAAAATGTATCTGTAAAGTCTGTATGTAGCAGAGACCGCTAACCTTGTCTTCTTTTATAAGTAACATTTTAAAGAAAATAACCCCATTTAATTATAATCAGCATTTAAATAAAATGTGGGTTTTAAGCAAACATTGGAGAGGTTTAGACAAATGTATGCACCTGTGTGACCACACTCCAAAGACTGGGAGCATTTCCATAGCCCCAGAAAGTTCTGTCCCAGCTCCACCTCAAGCAACCACTGGTTTATATTATTATGGGATGGAATATCATATGGAGAGTCCTCTTTTGTGTTTGGCCACTGTGGTTTAACATACTACCTGTGAGATTCATCCATGTTGTGCATTTGAGCATTCCACTCATTTTACTCTTTATACAACTACTCTATTATGAGAAGAGTATAGATAATTTGTTTATCTTCCCTGTTGATGGGAATTAGAGTTGTTCCTACTCTTTGTGTATCACAAATAAAGATGCTATGAACATTCAAATTTGAATTACGTGTGTGGGCAGATATTTTCATTTCTTTTGAATAGACACCCAGTAGTAGAATCACCTTTCAAACGGTAAGAGTATGTTTATAAGACACCACTGATGGTTTTATTTTTTATGTTCCCTGCAGTAGTGGTATATTACTGCTCTTCACCCTGGTCTACACTTGGTATGGTAGGCCAGGTGTTAACAGCAGCCATGGTTGCCGTGTAGTGTTACTCCATCCTCATTTTAATCTGCAGTTCTCTGAAGATTAGTGAGTTTGAGCACCTTTTCATAAAATTTCTGGGTTTTATCTGGAATATAGCAACTCTCTCCTTGAACTCTAAGATTTGTCTTTTCGCTCTCTAAATATCGTCTTAGTTAAATATAGTCAACTTCATCAAGATCTTCTTTAAGTAGTCTGTGTATCTGCTTTAGAAATCTTTTCTTACCTCAAGCTCAGGAAGACATTCACCTAAGGTGTCTTCTAAAAGCCATTGTTTTGTTTTTCACATGTAAACCTACAATTTACCTAGAATTTATATTTTGTATTGGGTATGATGGCAAGGATATCCTTTCTTCTTATTCACATATCTAATTACCAAACATATGTTCAATATTTTTTCAGTATTTATCTGCAAATGACCATCTAGCTATAGAATTCTTAGAAAATACGTCAACATTGTTGTTATGGTGTGTATAAACATGAGCTTAGGGTAACCTCTCCCCCATAAATAAAAGACATTTTTTTAAGAACCGAATTGTTTTCCTCATTTTAGAATATAGCTAAATTGTACTTATTATGAAGTACCTGTACTCTACATAGAAGTATGTTCACAAAAATCCCAACAAACAGATAGCACTGTTAATAATGGATTAAAAACCAGTTCTTACCACCAGCGCCACCATCACAGGGCCATGGATGATGTAAAGCAGATGGGTGTCCACACTCAGCCAGCAGCTGAAGAAAAGGAAGGGAACACATCAGCCCAAATGCATTTTATTTATGTGTTTATTGGCTGAAAAACCACCTTAATACTTACTTGTCATTGAAGTACAGAGCCCTGGTAATCGCATGGATAGTGCATGGCACCAGCGGGAACCCTTAAAATGTAAAAAAGTACAAATCACACTTGGTTCCTTGGCCATATGCTATAGCTCCAGTTGCATGGAAAATGGTCACATACTTGCAAAATATAGCAGCAAATTTAGTGTGTCTGTCAAGATACTGCCCTGATGTTTGTGCACAGATTATCTTTGGTCAAGGCAGGTAAAAATTTCCTGGTTAGAACAACATGCGCTTTCAGAGAATTTGGTTAGGAGCTTCCAGATAATTGAAAGCTTTTCACAAATTGCCCTACATAGCAGGAACATTTTAACATACTGTATGATTCTTACTACCATTGTTAGGTCTTTGATGATGATGATTTTTGTTGATGACTGTTAACTGAGTCTAGGCTCTCATATGAACAGGAGCCGGGTCACACTGGAGGGAGGGATGTCACTTGGACAGTGTGTGGGAGCAGTAATCTAATTGCTTCTAAAGTCTTACTTGATAGTCACATTATTTCTCGTAGGTTCTCATTTTTCTATCTGTTTATATTATGTGCCTTGACCCTGTTTCCTTTTAATACAAACACTCCTGAGAAGCCAATGTAGCCCCTGTCCTCTAAGTTCTTACTGTAGGACCTTAATTGGAGACAACTGTGTCACTTCCATCCCTAAAGTCAAAAGTATTAGTAAGAAACACCTTTGAATATAAACAGAACAACGGAGATAGCTACTGGTGACATGGTCTGCCAGATCACAGCTTTTAAAAATAAATTTCTTTCTATAAATGAAATTCAAAGTTGTGATTTTTCTTAAAAATGATTTTCCTTTTACTGAGTTATACCTATGTGCAATAGAAAACAGTTTGACTGATTGAAACATCTGTAGAAAGAGATTTTGTTATTATCATCAGATTAAGAAATTCATCTCTGGAGAGAATTAAACCCACACATTTTTATTTTCTGTGAATTATATGGAAAAAGAGAAGGTCTCAAAAATTGAGTTTTACTTAAGAATAACATCAGATTCTAAACTCATAAAGCATGTATTTTAATATGACCACTAATTAAATGTTTGGCTGGAAATAATTTTAAGTTGGACTGTTCACTCAAAATATGATTGTGCTATTCACAGCAGCCCCAACATACTACTTCCCCATTCGAGTTCAGAAACAAAAACTCATTTTCTGCATTTATTCTGACATACATATTTTAGAATTAGCAAAAGAGGCATATATGCTTTTATGCTCATGTCATAGAAAGGAGAGTGTCTCCACCTTAATCTAGAGGGGTATGGACTCCACATTTCTAACTCCTTGTGTTCTTCAATTTCCTCTAGCCATTGTTCTTTTTTTCATGCAGTTTTTTTTCTTTCCTCTTCCTCTAGGCCCCAAGATCTGTAGCAACCTATTCCTCCCACCAAAGATGATGAGGGTAAGAATAATTCTTTCTTTGGAGGAATCTTCTTTTCAGGGAGATTAATAAATTCGATTTGTTCATTGTAAAAGTACATTCTATTTATAAGTCTATTTATAAGTCTCCAAGACCCAGATTAGAAAACTGTATACATTTAAACACAAGCAAAATTGGTTCAAAATTCAACTGAATGAAATACATACCCCAGCCCAGAAGGTAATACCACCACAGACGTTGCCCCTCAGCGAACACAGACACCACGATGAGAGTATGGAGATAGACCCCTTCGCAGAGCATCCAGAAATAGTTGCAAGCCATCATGTACTGGTGGAAGAAGTGCAGAATCTTGCAGCTCACCTGTTATGAAGAAATGAAGACACTCAGTGGAAGTCGCAGGTAAAGATCTGGCGTGAACAGAGGGTAAATGCGAATGTGAGCCAAAGTGTCTCCATCCAGTTTACAAGGCAGTGTCCCCAAGCATCTACCAACATGTGCCACCTCTATATCAACAAGTCAAAGTGATATTGTACAGATCACAGACGATACATGTAAACAGCAATGTGGGCCAATGAAAGCCAAGTCCTGAAAATGTTCTTTCCCCAGTACATTCTGGGGTCCTTGCTAGACAAAACAGGTTCATTTTCCTGCAGTCCGTCTTATATTATAGAAAACATGCAAGGATTTGTCACATGGTTTTTATCACTTTTTTCTCCCCTCTGGTCAATGAGGCAAAATAATCCCAACATTTTTAATGCTGCTCCTGAAGTCTATTAATCTGCTGGTGTTGCTGATATCTCTTTGGCAATAACAAGGATGGGTCTCATGCATGGCCTAGGAGCCAATGTTGAACACAGGTGATGTTCCTGCTTTAGTTTTCATATGGGAGCATTGTTTTCTACATTGGGATCCAAATGCTTGTCAAACCCTCTCTGGGCACAGAGATTAGAATAGCTTTCTCCCTGGCTACTCAATGCAGATTTGGAAGCCATACTACTGGAGTATCAAATTAAGTACATATTGTTATCTGTATAGAAACATTCATATCTTAATTTACAAAACAGAATATCTTAAATTATTCCCTAGTTACTCTGGAGTAGGGTTTCTCACTTAGACAGCATTGACATTTTGGGTGAGATAATTTTTTTACTTGTGAGGGGCAGCCCCATGCATTGTTGAGGGTTTAGCAGTATTTACCTCAATTCAGTAAATTACGGAAGCATTTTCCACCCAGTCATGACGATGAAAAATATCTCCAGATAGTGCCATGTCCTCCAGGGAGCAAAATGTCCCAGATTGAGAACCACAACCTGCGGGTATCTAGCTGTGCTTAACTCCCAACAACCACAATCACAACAACATCAGTGACAACAAAATTGATCATTCAAGACCTAAGATAATAGGGAGCAGTTATTGGCATTGTTAATTAAATGTTTCCTTTACCCTCTGTTGCTCCTCCTTGAAACATCAGAACACCAAGAACTTTAGTGCTGTTAAATATTCAGATTTTTTTCCTAGGCTATTTTTTACTTTCTCCTCATGGGGCCTCAAACATTTGTATTTTAGATTTTTAAGCACTGCCTCACAAATACCAGAGTCTCTATTTATCTCTCCTGTATTCTCTATTCTTCAAATTAGTAATTTTTATTGATTTATCTTCAGTTTTGCTGACTCCTTTCTTTGTCATCTCCACTCTGCAATTAAGCCAATCTAGTGTAATTTACTTTTAAATTTCAGCTGCTTTATTTTTTGGTTCTAGAATTTTCCAGGTCATTCTTTTTTAGCAATTTCTAATTTTTGGCTAAGGTGTCCTGTCTTTTATTTACAACCTGAGGTATAGCTGAGGTAAGCTACTTTAAAATTTTTGTCTGCTAATTTTAACATCTGGGCCAACCCAGGATCTATCTCAATTGTATTTTCCCTTGTGATGGGTACTGTTTTCTTAAAACAAAATTTTTATGTCTGGTAATTTTGAATTGTATTCTGGATACTGTAAATGTTATGGTATACAATCTAGATTCTGTTATATTCCTTGAAGTTTTCTTCCTATTGTTTGTTTTAGTAGGAACTTACTTTGGATAAATCAATCCAAAGTGCTTATTACCTGTGAGGTTGGTAATGTGAATCTCAGTTCAGGTAGTTTAGACTTAGCTATGATCTGGATTCCTTTGTACACACATGGTTGTGGGGTCAGGCAAATTCTGAACCTAAGTAAAATACACGTATTTGAGATTTATTTTCCTCACATTTATTCTCTTCACTTTTTAGTTCTATCATAGCCCTAAACCTGTGAGAGATTTTGCTAGATAGAAGCTAGTTAGCCATCACCATTTTGTTTTAAATCGTTTTTAGATAATGAGCCACTAGAAAATATATTCTGTAATATTATGTGAAAATTATGATAGTAGGATATTCACATAGCAAATTTTAAGTTTTAATCATAAAGTTGGAGAATCATTATTGGTTTTGACATGTAAGTAAAGTGAAGAATAATAAATGGCAGAGAATACCTTATTCCACTTCCATGTCTTGGCATTATTCTCCCCACCCTGCCCCTAAGTCAATCATACACTCTTAATCCGAATTCAATTTTTCCCTTCACAGGCTACTGAAATAGATAATGCCAATCATGTTTTATGTGCCATTGAGCCTTCATCTCAGAAGCACTGCCATCTTGGTTGCTTCATCTACATTTATCTGGTCTCCCTTCCAGCAGCCTCCCTTGGGGCAGGCAGGAATGTCTAGTTCTCACCCTGGAATTCATCATCTCTAGCGCTTCTCTTCCAGCCACTCTTTCCAACCTGATCTTCCTGTGATGATCTAGGATAAAGCCATGGCCTTGTCGGGTGGTCCAACTATTCTGAACAAATGAGGGCTATAAGAAATTCGTGTTGTTTTTCAGAACTTGGAACTCATTTGGCTTTACTGATATAAGAAGCTGCAGAAAATGTAACTCGATTGTATCAGCTTTTGAGGTACAAAAGTGCTCAGGTTCCTAGGAAAAACTAATCTCCTTATATTGTCCCTCTCATACCCAGATAAAAAGTTCAGAGAGACATTTATTTCTAGAAAATGACAAGTATCCTGCCAGCTTCCTTTAGATGCAGCAAGAACAATGCTTTTAATTCTGCATCCTGACTCTACATAAAGATCATCAAATGAATAGATAGAACAAGAAAATGAAATTTTAGATATTATGGAAATGAAATACTCAAATGACATAAATGACAATGGGCAATTTTCACATCACTCAATAAACTGAGGATCTATTCAGTCCTTATTTATTCCAGAAGTTATTTTGAGTTTAACTTAAAAAAAATAAAATAGAAGAATGTGAGAAATAAGATTCTGATCCTTGGCCAGACAGGAGAGAATATGCCTGACCAAAGGCTTCTGAGAGAAAAAACTGACTACTTTGATGCAGAAGGAACCTCAACCCCGCAGGGATTCCCCACTGAGGGCTGAGGACACTTCTTTTTCTTTCTCTCTCTTTTTTTTCTTCTTATTTTGCCCTCAACAAAATAAAACTCTCATAGAAGAAGTGCAAAAACATTTGGGATGAGGCAGCCTCCCACTTCAAGAAATAGCTTTCTTTTTAATATATTCCCTTTGGTATTGAGTAGAGAAAGCTTTGTGCCTCTTAACTACTGATTCAGTGACCTGAGAATAGGGTCAATATGAAAAAGTAACTCTTTGCTTTTGTTTGCTTAGGAGGGAAAATGACTTCAAAAGTTAAGTGTTTTGTTTTTCTTTAAAGACAATATAGAACTAAATCAGAGATGGTCTGCTCATGAGTGTGCTTTTCTTTAATTTATGCCTATGGTTATATTTTCATGTTAGTTGCAATTTCAATTAATATTTATAAACTGAAAATGTCCAATAACTTTCCTTTTTCCAAAACTTTCTACTGTTTCATTGATTGATTGATTGATTGTCTCTTATGTTTTCTTTCTTGTTTTTATTTTTCTTGGTTAGGGAGGATCTTAATCAAATGTTTTCTGGATTGTTAGTTTTTCAAGAAGAATGTAATATTTTAAACCCTGAATTTAAAGTAATTTTAAACATATGATTCTGCATGTGACTTAATGTTGATGGATGACTGGATTCTCAGTCTTTGGATACTATTACATCTGTCTCTTTACAAGTGAAGAACTTTTCTCCTAAGAGAGATAGGGCTTGAGAAAAACTTAAGTCTTTCCTAGTTCTCATTTCTTCTTCTTCTTTTTTTATAAATATATATGTTGTTGATTGACCTTTATCTATCTATCTATTTATGTATTTATATGTGGTGCTAAGAATCGAACCCAGTGCCTCACACATGCCAGGCAAGTGAGCTACCACTGAGCCATAGCCCCAACCCCTCTTGTTTATTCTTCATATTCAAGTTTATCACAGCAGGGACATTTCTTCTTTCTTGATACCCAAATTTATTGCTTCAACTACAATCCACTTAAACTTTCAGATGAGAAAAGACTCAAGAAATTGGGCTTCTTTCAATGCCTTTATGATAGAATATGCACAAAATAGGTCTACTTAGGAGGCTTTGCTACCTTTTCTTGAACTAATTTCACTTGCCTAGAGAGAGCTGTCCTATGTTGTTTATATATGGAAGGTTAGGTAAGAGAATCAACAAAATTTTTGATGAAAAATAATGACTGTTCAAATAGAGAAAGTGCTAAAAAAACCCCTAGATTAAAAAAAACTAGTTATTTTTTAAAACTAGTTAAATTTCCTCCTAAGTCAAGTGTATGCTTCATAATTCACAAGCATGAACTAATTTTCAACATTTTAGTCAGCTAGTTTTAGCTGACACTATTCACATGTATTTGGTGAAAGCTGTGTGTCTCCGTATTTTGTTTAATGGAAGAAACAAACATTTAAGAATGTGAAATAGGGCACAGTGTGTTCTCACATCATGACATCGCTCCATTTTCCATGTAAGTTGAGTTCTAGCTGGTGACCCATTCTCATTTTGTCTAGCCTCAGTGGAAAGGGATTCCTCTTGTAGGTGCACAGAGAAAACTATCTAGATTTTTGTTCCTTTGTTTTCCATGGGGGTGGGGAGGGGGAACAGCACACTCAAGAATAGGTTAAAATATGTCTGAATCCCACCTGTACGGTTGTAAGACACATTGGATTCATGCTTAGGGATTGTGAATGGGTAAGAGATATCAGTGTGAGGCAGGAGAGGATCTACCTGTGAATTTACAGTACTTCATAATAGACTGAGCACTGCTCCCAGGTCAGTGTGTGATGATTCAATAACTGAAGTGCCATTTCCTGGCCTACTTCCTACAGGTGGTAACTTTCTCAGAGTTTCCAACCTTAGTGGAGAATGGAAAGCCAAATATTTGACTCCTATTTGCTTAGCAAATTGCTTCTACATTATTTTAAATTTGTCGGGGGTCAGCTTCACTAACTGTGGTGTGCCAGTCCAATTGTTGACAATCATTGCTCTGGAATGGCTGAGCCCATTTCTTTTATCACATGTATCTTCCTATGGAAATAAAGAAAGACTGTGGTGTGAAGAGAGACAGTCTTGTGTGAGACAGATCCATATTTGAATTCCATTTCTAAGTACTCACAGTATGGGGGACACTTACCTTCACTGAGCCTCAGTTTCCCAGCTTTAAAAATGGGGATAATATCCTTCTCACTGAGGTCTTGTGAGGATAAAATTAAGTAAGATAAATTTTATTTAAATCAATTAACACTGGAAAAGAAAAACTCATCAAAATAAACCCCATTTGGTCACATTATTCTTCAGGTAAGACAGGACTTTGTCTCTGATAACAGATGTCATGGTTTTAAAAGATGGATCCTAATGCCTTTCTGGATATATTCACAGTGCAAAAATTATTAACACTGAGGATCCATTAGAAGCCAAATTAAGCTGCTTTCCCATGCCATGCCACTGTCAAGCAGGATGCATGCTCTGGGCAGATTTCACGCATTTTTGTCATTGGGTTGGCAGAACTGTCAAATGCCAGTTTTGAAAGATGAGGCTATCTACAGATGCTTGCATAACACAGTTAAGCAGGGAAACAAAAATGAAAATATTCCATGGCCATTCACTGTGTGCTGATAGCTTCAGTTTGAGCTTCCAGATGCATTCTCCTCCCCTCCCACAGCCCTGGGCCCAGAGATGTGGTTCTGGATGCCTCCCCCAGGGCTTCCTTGCTCTCTGTTTTCTGGTTTAGCTCAGTTAATAGAACCCTTAGCAGGGACAGGGAGGTAAGAGTGTTTACTCCCTCGTCCATTTTCAGGGGTTACTATAGGCTGGCTGTGTTTGGAGGCAGAAGTCTTGAGTTTCTGAAGGCCATCCTTCAAACATGCCACTCCTCTGTCTTTAGCTTCCTTCATCTTTCCCTCCATTGTCAACTCAGGCCAAGGCAAGGTAACAGTCCCCAGTGTATTGTCCCCAATTTGTATTGGAATGAAACATAATTTTATACAACAAAAATGATCAAATATTGGCAATTTCATATGCAATGCCAGAAATCATTACATCATTAAATTGTTTTGAATTGATCAATTAAAATGCAGGCCATTAATGAATAAGACAAAGATTTTTGGTTGAAATTTAAAAAAGGCAGGAGATACAGAGAAGCATCTGTAGATTTTTCAAGATGAAAATATTTGCTAAGGATCAAATGATTATTAAATGGTAGAAACAGTGATTATACATTATCTAAACACTGAGCTTATAAATAAAAAAAAAGTTTTGGAAAGTAAATGGTTGTTTGGTATCACAGCACCAAAGTGATTCAATTGCTTTAAAACCAATCTGGTAGATTTGGGAACCTAATCAACTAGTTTGATATTACCAAGCCCTCATCAATTCATAATTAGAGACACATCATTAGGATGCAAAGGAAAGAACAAAACTGAGAGTAAGGAGAGTGGATTTGAGTCCTTGTTCCCCCTGCAATTACTGAATTATATCAGTCATACAATCCAGGGTAAATCACTTGGCCTTTCCATCCTCAGATCTCTAATCTGTAAAATGAGGACTAAAATCTCTTTTAGTTCTAATTTTTGGTGGTTTGTAATATCTGGGGCTGATTGAATGAATTAGCAGAGCCTTCATGTTCCTCCCCCTTTGCCTCCTCTGCCAGCTCATTTTCTTCACCCAGCAATTGGTCAATGATTTCCCAATTTGGCAGCAAGAGAGAAACACCTGGGGTGCTTTCCTGGGCTCCACCCATAGCTACTGAACTCTAGCACCTTGTAGACAGTGGCTGTCTAACACTTATGAAATTCCCCCAGTTGATTCTGAAGCGCAACCATATTTGGAAACCATTTGGAAAAATATTACCTTGGAGATAAAAAGAAAAGATTGAAGACAGATATGAATTATTATTAACAACTCTAAGGACGTTATGAGTGGTTCTCAGTAATGGAGTTAAATGATTTCAATTCTCCTGTTCTCTGTGATACTTTTATAGAAGAAGGACCCTCACTAGATTTTCTTGTTGTGATGGTGTTTATGGGCATGAGTTTCATGGATGTATTCATTACCCCTAAATTCTTTTTCATTTTCTTAGGTCAGAATAGATCTTTTTTCAAAGCATGCAGACATAGAACATATTTATACTCATTTGAGTAAATGCATAGTGTTTATAGCTGAGGTGACTGATCCAAGCCTTTGTACAATAGCCTTGTTGTATGATTCTCATTTGCTTATGACTCAATGATTCTAGTCCTTTATCATAGCATGTAACAATGAATTCCAAGAACTACATAGAACTGATAATGCTTTGCTAATGCAAAGTTCAACTCAAGAAGTACATATGTTTGCACATGTCAATAGCATTAACAGCATGCTCATTATTTACAGGTACTAGGTTCTCCAAATAAAATTGAAAACAAAACCATGCAGAGCTTACGGGGTCCCGGCGCACCAGATCTCCGTTGGGCACGACTTCAACCAGGTGGATGATGATAATCATGGAGTTCAGAATGTAGGTCAGAAACATGTTCTTGTGCAGAGTCACACGTTGGCAGCCAAGGCTCCTGGAAGAAAAAGTAATGTGAAGTATTAACTGGGGCCCAAATGTTAAAGTTCCTGGAAAAAAATTGATGATATTTTTTCATATTTTCTTTAGCAACAGACATGAGGACATACAGAAGCAAATGAGGTGTGTCCCATCCTCAAGACTGATTACTATGTTTCTGCCTGATTTTTAAAAAAATAGTTTTAAAAGCAATTTTTCTAGTCACAGAAGTTGTAGTTTAGGGTCCTTGCAGTGGCTTCCTACAATAACTGAAAGAGCAAGGAATGACTTTTGATTATGACAATGTTACCAAATAGGTGGTAAGTGGGGTCATAGAGCAAGAAGTCAGAACAAGGGATGCCCGTGACCAGGGACAGGAGCCCTTACATACACGAGCTTCAAGTATTCCACCATTCTTTCCTTCCACTGTGTCTTTTGACATCTTCCTAGATCTGTGGAGTCCCTCCTGTGGTTCCTGCTCTCCACATTCTCCTGCTGGTGGAGCTCGGACACAGGCAGAGAATTCTAAATGGGCTTAAATTTGATCTCCTCATGAGGCATATAGTGCTTCAGATCTGGCGAGACCTATCTAAGTGCTGCTGCTTCCTTGCACAGTTACTTTCCCACCTTATTGGTACTAAGTAATTTGTTGGATTCTTTTATTCCTTTCTCCCCTACTTCATAAACTTGTTACATAAGCACTGATGTGAAAGTTCACATAATAAAACATTACTTTGAATGTCCCTTTTCACTTTGGGGATGTAATGAAGACAGCCTGTGTCATGGTAGAAAGAAAACTGGAATGAGAATTGTAGGTCAATAGACATCCTTTATTTAATATATTTCATCCAGTCAAAAATATTGGTATAATGTATTTACATTGTGAAAGCTTAAAACCTGCAGTTACTCCTCAGAGTAGCTACTCCTAAAACAAGTTCATGGAATAAAGTTAGAAGCCAGGAATTTTGAAAAAAAGAAATCTGGGGGAAAAATGAAATATCAGAATGGTCTGGATTTACTTACAATGCTTTCCTATATTCACAACTCAAAGGAAAGTGAATTGTCAATAATTTGTAGTCAAAAGTAAGAGTAAGTAATAAAGACCTCTGTGAGAGCGCATTAGGATGACTGCAGATACACTTTTCAACTTCTCAGGAAGCACACATATTAGTAGTTAATGAATAATAGTTTAGAATTTGTCACTTATTGGGCAGTATTAGAATATAGAACTTTATGTCCAGAAGGCAGCCTATGGTAAAGATGGGGCTTAGAGAAGAACTTACCCTCCCAGTCCCCCGCACACTGTGATGGATTACTTTACTTGGCAGCAAAATTAAACCAAATTTGCTTGGTTTTACAATATTGCTAAAGACAGGTTGCAAATTTAAGGCTTTCAAAAGAATAAAAAATTGTGTGAAACATTGCACACATTTATACAACATAAACTCTTCCATCTTGCAACTGTTGGACTCAGTGCTGTTGAACCTGTGACCTGCCACCTTCCATGTAGTCATAATTGTGTTCAATAATTCTTCTAATTAGGAGTAAGTCTCTGTGGTTTCCTCATGGCATTCAGTCTGGTTTAGCCTATGACAACTGACATTGTCTAGAAGGAAAAGCAGGAGGAAGGTCTGCTGCTCTTGGGCCTGGCTTTTTTTAGATTGGGCAGAGTTCAATAATCTGTTGATGCATAGCACTGGCTTAAGGGACTTCATTAGCTGCATTCTCTGTGGAAACCAAAGCCCCCTGAACAAAAGATATTTCCTCTACCTGCTGCTTACTCTTGCCCTTGAGTCCCTGGTTTATTTTTCTTCTTAACACTCATCACCTCCTGATATTGCCTATTATTTTCTCTTTTCCTCCCACTAGCATGGAAGTGTCCAAGGAAATTGTTTCATAATCCTAGAACACTGACACATCACAGGACTTAAGACTCATGGTTTAATTAAAAATATATAACAACAATTTTGCTTGAGCTGTGACCACTAAACAATTTTTCAGTACATCAAAGAATTATATTAAATGCTAGATGATTTCATATCTCATACTTTGTATCATAGTGAACATTTATCAAATTCTTAAGTTGTAAAACTAACTAATATTGGACATCATCTTGTTGTTCAACACTAGCTCATATGTAGTTATGATTTAGATGTGATGTCCCCCAAAAGCTCACGTGTGAGACAATGCAATTGAGTTTGGAGGAGAAACAATTAGTTAATTAATCCCTGATGGGATTAACTGAGTGGTAAATGGAGGCAGGTGGGTGTAACTGGGGGAAGTGGTTCCATTAGAGGCGTGCCTATGGGGTATATATTTTGTATCTGGAGGGTGGAGTCTTTCTCTCTGCTTCCTGTTCACCATGTGAGCTGCTTTCCTCCACCACACTCTTCCACCGTGATGTTCTGCCTCACCTTGAGCCACTCCAAAGTGATGGAGCTGGCTCTCTATGGGCTGAGACTTCTGAAACCGTAAGCCCGCAAACTTTTCCTCCTCCATAGTTTTTCTGGTGGGGTCCTTTAGTTACAGCAGTGAGAAAGGCTGACTAAAACAATATTTTATATATAAATATATATGTATAAATCCATATATATGTGCATATATCTACATAAGAACACATACACACTTCTCATTGAGAACGTAGAGAAAATGATGGTTTAAAACTAGATAAACTGCTAGCCTCCAAAGGGAGACTATGGCTAATAATGAGTTTCTGTTTCTTAAAAGTTCAAGCATGATTTCTGTTTATTGAGTTTAAAAATTTTTATTACATTACTTGATGACATTTACACTCATCTTTTTGAAGCAGGTTAACGGTACTTTAAATTTATCAAAATTAATTAACAATTGAGTTACTGTGTACTCAATATGATCCAGAACTTCTAGGAGAGGCAGAGGATATATCAATGCACAAATAGAAAACTTCTGACTTCAAGGACCTTATACGCAACATGGCTGCTTATTTACTCTTATTGTGATAAGTGTTCTGAAGAAGAGGCATAGGATGTTGGAGAAGATGAACTGAATTTAGCATAAGAATTGTAATGCAAAAATCCTGTTGCTTGAGTGAATGTAAGAGCAGCTGATAACATTTTCTTGTCAGATCTGAAATGTCTTAAGTAGAAATTGCATAAACCTGATGTTATACTGTATTCCCTTGATAAAAAAAAATAGGCATTTAGATGGACAGAACACTGCTTGTTAATTTGAGTGACAGAGAACCATAAGTACTACAGATTCTCCAATAGTGGGAGGACAAGATACCATTATCTGCTGTCTGGGCTAAACTGTGGTGTCATTTCAAATGTGACAAAGAAATAAGTGTTCTTGACTTTGAATCTCAAAATGCCATATTTTAAGGCTAAATCAAAAAGTCATTTTCATGGTTATAGTTTATCTGGTATAACTCTTTCACAAAGAATTTGTTTCATGTTATTAGTACTCTATCGGCATGCATGTGTACTTTATAAGAGCTTGTGGCTGTATGAGAGGCATTTAATATTTGCCTGGAGTTTTGCAGATTACTTAAATCAGTTTTGGTATCAATCCTACATAAGTCTGTAATTAGAGTCACATTCAAAGCAAACAGGGAATAGCCAATAATGAAACAAGGAAAAGTTTGTATGGATTTACTAGTCCATGGGAAAACATGAGTTAGGAATTTCATTTCTATAATTGCTATAAGCCCAAGTTGCATCTTCCAGTCTGACTTTGTTCCCCTTTACCTAGTTATTGTACCTTCTTCACAATGGGCATGAGAATTAAGGGCAAGAGAAGAGGGCAATAATGCATAATTGCATAACAGATCATATGTATGTCTTTCTTGATAAGGAACTTTCTACTTTTAGATATAGCACAAAATCCTTATCAAGAATTCCCCCTTTTAATTGTAATGCTTGCTTCTTTTCCTATCACTACTGTTCTGTGGGTGCACAATATGTCATGGACTGACCAACAGTTATCTTGACTGTCTCCAGCATGCCAGTGCCTGGGTTGGAAGAAAGTATGCTATCCTTGATGCCTTCAACTGAGTGTTCTCTCTGGAGGAGCAGGAAGGCAGTCAGAGACATATAATGGTGGACACCACACAAGATAAAACCTTGTCTGTCCACCCAGAATGTAGGTGTGAAATGAAATAGCAGGAAATGCTGAGTTGGTGGTAAAGGAACCAACGTTCCTTCTGGATTCCCCAGTGGAAGCTACCATTTTTGACCTATGTTACTCCCTATACTTTTTGACATGCAATAAAGACACTCCCTGTCTTTCAATATATATTTCTAAAGCCTTTTGGGCAAGAGTAGTAAATATTTTAAATATTTAACAACCAGAAGGTATGAGTACTGATCAGTCACAATGGATGCTAATGAATGTTCTATTATGCCTCTCTTGAGAGAGCATATGAGCTGTATAAATATTTAAGTGTGCAAATTGATAAATTGTAAGTAAAACTTGAGAAATAAGTGGATTTATTAAAAACTTGCCAAAAATGGTCAAGAACCAAACTCACATAAATGTGCACTTACATAATTTTCCCAAATCAGTTTTCCCTAAGGGTTTCTACATTTAGTTCTATTGTTGATATGTACTATTGGCATCTAATAGTGAGAGGTCTTGGTGAACTAATTTGATGTTTCTATTTAATTCTTCTCCTTATTATTGTTCTTATTTTCCCTGCAAACATCCTAAACCATCCTAAAGTGGCTGTTTTCTATCTTTAACTGTTGGACTAGAAATAACCTCTATACCATGATGAATGTTATGTAAACTTTCATACAGTTATAAAAGTTTTAGTGCCCTTTTTTATTAATTAAATCACTGAAACTCAGTTTCCTCTAGATTGTAGAAGACACAGAGGTTTTGTTTTCTTCTTTTAAAATAACAAAGCATGATTTTTATTTGTTTCAGGGTTATGTAGCCCCCCTGCCTTTTCCTTTTCCCTGAAGACTAAGAATAAAATCACATTAAGATCTGGGGCATGCTTTAATGGCCTCATTCTGAGTAAGAGCCCAAGATTTTTAG